TAATGTGGGTGAGAAAAAGGGAGTGAAAAAGAGATAGAAAATGTAGGAAGCAGAAGAAGAGAAAGAGAAAGGGAGTAACAGAGAGAAAAAGTGAGAGTGAAGGAGAGGAATAACAAAGTTATAGATAAATAGAGAGAGAAAAATTGAGGAAAAGTGGGAGGAAGGGAATAAAGAAAAATCGAGAAAAACAGAGGGAAGATAAAAAAAAAAGAAAGAAATTAGTAAAAACATAAAATTGTAAAGAAAATATTATCTAAAGAGAAAATTCAGTCCCCCACAATCTCTGAATTAAACGGAAAAGAATATTTTGAGCAGTAAATATCTTCCGCCCTTTTAGTTAAAATAGGGACGATATATTTCCGAAGAGAAGATTTGCTCTGTAAAATGGAAAAGAAATCTTGCATTTATTAATGGAATCATAGTTTTTGAATGCGTGCAAATATGTGCTCTAAATGTTTTTAACAATTTGCCTGCGATTGCAATATATTATCTAGTGTAAACTGCTCAACACCAGCTCTGGTTACAACTCAAATCAAAAGTTCAAATCTTGCTGTTCTAAACTCCGATATTCATGATCTTATTATCCATTTGGCCGGATTATCAGATATCGTCGAGGTGGATCACATTAATAATTTAACAAATCATTCTTAAAAACTTACCTTGGGAATTTTTTTTAATTATCTAATGAGGAAAGGGGGCCTGGAAAGTTTAACACTCACAAGATTTATTGAAAGCAAGAAAAGTAGAAAGAATCAGCGATTAACATATTCAATGAGTTAATGTGAATGGATTGAAGAAAAAGGATAAAGAGTAAAATTTCAAAAGATCCTTACTTAGTGTTTGTAGCATAATGGGTATGGCCCATTCCCATAGATACAGTAGTGAATACTGTATGTGTTGGGCGGTCAGCTTGCACTTGGAGATTCGTCTTCAGTTGGGCTAGTTAAACTCTCGACTTCCGGGCAGAGAGCATCTTCAGACGGGGCTATGTCGAAGGGCAGATTCTCGTCACGGGAAACACCTACCCGACCCCGTTTTATACGGGGAATTTTTGTCTGAACCTACGGGCTCGGGACCCACATTAAATTCGGCCTTGTGCCACATCTGACTGCATGGGGCTGTTGGTAGATATCGTCGGCCGGCCTGAAGTTGGAGATTCGTCTTCAGCTGGGCTGATTAAGCTCTCTGCTTCCGGGCAGAGAGTATCCTCAGACGGGGCTACGTCGAAGGGCAGAGTCTCATCCCGGGAAACACCTACTCTATCCCGCTTTATACGGGGTCTACGGGAAATTTTTGGCTGAGCCTACGGGCTCGGAAACCCCACATTAAATTCGGTCTTGTGCCACATCTGACTGCGTGGGGCAGTTGGTAGATATTGTCTGCGGTCTGTAGTTGGAGATTCATCCTGGAATTCACTTGATTCACTTCTAGAAGTTGACTAATACTTCAACGCGCCGCTGGCGAATCTTTTATGTGTTTGTCTTGTCCTAAGTATTATCGTTCATCACCAACCTTCGTTTGATTATTCTATTCAGTAACCTTCCCTAGGTTACAACACTTTGATAAAAAACAAGAAGCTGTGGAGAGTAATAATCACTGAAATCGTGAATGGGCATGTCATATAAAAGATAAAGAAGAGTATAGGGGAATAAAATCTTTTGATCAGATTTAGTTTTTTTTTTTTTTTTTAAATATATCGATTTACAGGAGACAAACCAACAATGAATGCCAATAAAATTTATCGGATTACAATTTTTTGACAAAAATACAAGGAAACAATCAATCTAAAGGTTTGAGCAGATTTAAAGATAGCAGACTTAGGAAAAATTGCAGACCCTAAATTCACAAATCCTCTTTGAAATTGAGTACATAATTTGTTAATGTTTTGCCAAATCGACTAACGTGAATATATATATATATATATATATATATATATATATATATATATATATATATATATATATATTTAAAAAAATGAAATCTGAGTTCAATTAATTAATTGAATTATCATAGCTCTATATTCGGACATGTATCTATGAAAAGTATAATACAGTGAAACCCGGATATAAGAGAGTTGTCGGGACCGGAGAAGAAGTCTCTTATATCCGGGTTTCTCTTATATACGGGTTTGGTCTTTTTTGTTTAGGTAAGTATGGGCTCTAATTTGGGACCAGAGAAAATCTCTCTTATATCCGGGTTTCTCTTATATCAGGGTCTCTTATATCCGGGTTACACTGTATATAACTTCGCCTACATTGTCATAATCAAATATATTTAAAAAAAAAAAAAAAACTATTAAAATTAGGTAACGGTTAGTCCATACCTAGCATCTGATTATTGCGTTGTGCATGAAACACCGAGTCGTACTATCGATGAGGGATAATATATATATATATATATATATATATATATATTGTCATCCACAGACAGACTGTTTCGCTGTATCACAGCTTTTCATTACGGTTAGACGTCCAATTGCTTCAAGCCGGGATCGAAACCTGACCGATTTGGCATCAAAGGAGATCTTACCTCTAGTCTATCGTCCCACAGATTTTTGTTTACATTCCTTATAAATTCTAGAGAAACCTATTATTAACAAACCTATTATTATAACGGATTATTTTAGAATCCTATGCTATTGGGATCTATAAAAATCGGGAAATACCAGAAATTTAGAAGATTATATAAAAACTTATAGAGAATACCTGATTAATTTAGAAGCCTATAATACTGGCTTCTGTAAATAACTTATAATTAAGAATAAATTATTTTAGAAGCTTATAAAACTGGATTGCATATATACCTCAAATTAATACTGGATTTCATTTAGCAATTTATAATTAAATGCTTCATGGAAAGTCCAAACTTTTATTATAGTTTTAAACGGACATATTTTTTAGAAAATGTGCACATTAATATATTATCTATACAAATATATTAATATATGTTAATGTATTGCATGCAAATATATGCATTTTTAATATGTCCGTCTTTTGAAGCTAAAAAAACTTTAATTTATAACGGATTTTTAATAATTAATATTAATAATAATTAATTAATTAATATTAATAATTAATACCTGATTATACGGTAGGCCTTAATGAGTTAAGTTGTAAAGAAATAACGAAAAAATATTTCTCATCAAAAATCTGTAAGTGCTGAAAATGTTTGCATTGTTGTGGGCGGAGTACGAAAATTTTCAGCGCTCGTACGAGATCTTGAGATGAATTCGGACTGGATTTTTTTTTTGGATGAAGTAATGATAAGAATACTTATTGGATATTTTTAGATTGAATTCATTTTTCCATGTTTTCTGCGTGGGAAAATTGGCCATTCTTCCGACAATAATAGCAACTGAAAAAATAAAACTGCAAACTGTATTTGTTAGAGGAAGAAGAAAAAAAAAACACTTCGTGTATGAATTTAGAAAGACAGAATTAGTCATTTACACTGTTTTATATCTTTGTTTACCTCAACCAACTTAAACATACGCTTTCGTGTACAGACAATTTATCAAGTACCGTAACTTATTTTCATTACTGTTCATATTTTCTCTTATCTTTCATTTCGAACCAATATCTATTTTATTTGTTTACTTTATAAAATTATGTTTGTTCAAATTTGCAGAAACGTAGACGAAACGGACAAGGATTTATCTAGCAAATTTTCAAAATTAATTAGATTATTCATGGGGATCTGTATGGAGAAATCATTTCCTGAGTTCAATTGTGTCTAATTATTTAGAGCTACCTTAGTTTGCTAAATTTCAGCTCTTTCACATCTATCTATCTATCTATCTATCTATCTATCTATCTATCTATCTATCTATCTCATTCTCTTCACATCTATCGCTGATATTTCTGATCTATCTATCTATCTATCTATCTATCTATATATCTATCTATCTATCTATCTATCTATCTATCTTATTGCGAACCAGTCTATACATGTATATTTATGAGAATCTATCAATCTAGCCATCTATATACCTATCTATCTTCATTCATGTTAACTTTTACATCTAGCTGTCTATTTCTATTCACGGAAATGTATCAATATTCAGGTGGAACTATCTATCTATCTAGCTAGCTAGCTATCTATCTCATTCTCTTCACATCTATCGCTGATATTTCTGATCCATCTATCTATCTATCTATCTATCTATCTATCTATCTATCTATAGATAGATAGATAGATAGATAGATATGTCACAGTATATTAATATCAGTCTATCTCAGTATATTAATATCTATCTATCTCATTCTCTTCATATCTATCTCTGATATTTCTGATCTATCTATCTATCTATCTATCTATCTATCTATCTATCTATCTATCTCACACATTTATCTTTCTCAATTTGTGAATATCTATATAAATCTGTGAATATCTATTTATCCGCTGCTCTGTCTATCTATCTATCTATCTATCTATCTATCTATCTATCTATCTATCTATCTATCTACTTTCCCCTCCATTTTTTTTTTATTGATCCATCTAGCAAATTTTCTTAACTTGAACATCTATTACGATTCCTTTAGACCACGGAGAAACTTATATATATATATATATATATTGCTATCGGTTCATTGTACTGCTCTAAGACTCTACCTGTTATACACTACTTTTAGAAGAGCCCTACAAAAATAAAAATGGAGTATTGCTGCCATATCTGGCCTGGCGTTATGGGTGAATAAATATTTCTCATCCGACCAAGGCTTTCCCACGGGCGAATCGTCGCGAGCCTCTCATTGCTCTATTACTAGCTTCATGGAAGATATTTAGACAAGCTTCATTCCTTAATTCCACCAAGCCGTCAAAGGTAGGGCCTGTCATGCCGTGCACACAAGGGGTGAATTATTCCCATTCCCTCCGTATTCTATAAGTAAGAATCAAGTTCTACACGGAGAGCTTCTACCCAAGAACTGCTCCTATGTGGAACGCACGCTCGACAGGATGGTTTCCCAATCATTACAATCTGCAACGTTTCAGCTCTGGGCTTAACTATTCTCTTTCCAGCATAACTTCATGAACACCACTTCTTGTCCCTTCTTGCGCTCAATCAACACTACAAGGCAACCGTCTACATGTAGATAGATAGATTGTTTCACATGAATATAGAGATATACTTTCACATGAAGATAGATTGTTTCATATGGAATTAGATAGTTCCAAATGAACATAGATTCCCGTGAAGATAGATAGATAGATAGATAGATAGATAGATAGATAGATAGATAGATAGATAGATAGATTGTTACACATGAAGAAAGTAAATAGATTGTTTCATATGAATATAGATAGATAGATTGTTTCACATGGACATAGATAGTTCCAAATGAACATAGATTCCTGTGAAGATAGATAGATAGATAGATTGTTACACATGAAGAAAGTAAATAGATTGTTTCATATGAATATAGATAGATAGATTGTTTCACATGGACATAGATAGTTCCAAATGAACATAGATTCCTGTGAAGATAGATAGATAGATAGATTGTTACACATGAAGAAAGTAAATAGATTGTTTCACATGAAAATAGAGACATACTTTCACATGAAGATAGATTGTTTCATATGGAATTAGATAGTTCCAAATGAACATAGATTCCCGTGAAGATAGATAGATAGATAGATAGATAGATTGTTACACATGAAGAAAGTAAATAGATTGTTTCATATGAATATAGATAGATAGATTGTTTCACATGGACATAGATAGTTCCAAATGAACATAGATTCCTGTGAAGATAGATAGATAGATAGATTGTTACACATGAAGAAAGTAAATAGATTGTTTCATATGAATATAGATAGATAGATTGTTTCACATGGACATAGATAGTTCCAAATGAACATAGATTCCCGTGAAGATAGATAGATAGATAGATAGATAGATAGATAGATTGTTTCACATGAAGAAAGTAAATAGACTGTTTCACATGAATATAGAGACATACTTTCACATGAAGATAGGTAGATAGATTGTTTCACATGGATATAGATAGTTCCAAATGAACATAGATTCCCGTGAAGATAGATAGATAGATAGATAGATAGATAGATAGATTGTTACACATGAAGAAAGTAAATAGATTGTTTCATATGAATATAGATAGATAGATTGTTTCACATGGACATAGATAGTTCCAAATGAACATAGATTCCTGTGAAGATAGATAGATAGATAGATTGTTACACATGAAGAAAGTAAATAGATTGTTTCATATGAATATAGATAGATAGATTGTTTCACATGGACATAGATAGTTCCAAATGAACATAGATTCCCGTGAAGATAGATAGATAGATAGATAGATAGATAGATAGATAGATAGATAGATAGATAGATTGTTTCACATGAAGAAAGTAAATAGACTGTTTCACATGAATATAGAGACATACTTTCACATGAAGATAGGTAGATAGATTGTTTCACATGGATATAGATAGTTCCAAATGAACATAGATTCCCGTAAAGATAGATAGATAGATTCACATGAAAATAGTAGATTGTTTCACATAAATGTAGAAACATACTTTCACATAAAGATAGATAGATAGACAGATTGTTTCACATTAATATAGATATATAGTACCAAATGAATATAGTCCCCCGTGAATATAGACAGATAGATAGATAGATAAATAAATAAATAAATTCTTTCACATGAAGATAAATAGTAAATAGATAGATTGTTTCACATGAAGATAGATAGTTTGTTTTACATGAATTTAGATAGATATTTCCAAATGAATATAAATTTCCGTGAAGATAGATAGATAGATCTATTTGATTTTATTGGGATTAACCAATTAATATCTAAGATAAACCCAAGTATTAATTATAAAAATTAAAATAAAGCCTGTTATTCATAATTTTTTTCTAAAAACAATGTCCGTATACTTATACACGTATGTATTAATTCCTAGTTTACAAAATATATAATACCTGTTTATTAATTATTGATTTCATAGATTTATACTAAGCTATTAATGTCTACAGTCCCAAAATGGGACAGTGTGCATTAATGTACTCTAATAAAATAAAAAATTAACAGTTAGCGAAATATATAAACAGGTTGATAGTGATACACAGATCAAGGGAGATAACTAGATGTCCCTTACTATATCTATTGTCTTTGCATCGGATTAAAATAAAAGAAAAACAAAACTGAATATGAGAAAAAATCCTTGTGATCTCTGGGAATAAATAGTGACCATAAATTAATTAAATTATATTACATTATCACTTCCCATAATACAAGCTCAAGAAAGAGTCTGTCCGCCTTTTTGTTTGCTTGTTTTATCTATATCTATATTAGTGCTGTTGGAGAATAATTATTTTCCACCCTCGAACCTTTCTCTCACAGGTGGTTCTCTTACTGAATATCGCCACTTCCATGGAAAGTGCTTAGACGAACTGCATTCGTTGGTTCCGCTAGGTCTAATTTTCACGGCTAGAACCCGCCATGCCACTCAGCAGCAAACCACCCATATTCTCGAACTTCCATCGGTGAGAAGTAAGTTCCACTCGAACAGCTTTTTCTCGTGAACCACTGTCCTATGGAACAGACTCCCAAAAGCACGTTTCGCCGATTAGTAAAATCTTAACCTGTTCAGCTCTAGAGTTAGCCGTTAGCTTCTCCTCCTATCCATATAAACTACACCTTACCGTAACCATCTAGCTCGAGTGGCCTGCTTGGGCTTTGCACGTTCGCTTTCTGACCATGAGACCTCGGATCGAATCTCACCACGGTCGACTTGACAGGAAGGAGACTTCCAGAAGTTATCGTTCTGGGGGGAGACGATCCCAACATGCGACACCTTTGGAAAGTGCTTGAAAACCATACCATGGGTTGACCCAAGCCTTGTGAGTGAAATTGGGTAGACGGAACCCTTGGGTGCCATCGATTGCTATGCTATCCCTATCTCACAAGTCATCGTGGCCGAGGGCTTGAGCGTGCTGGCCTTGTTCAAATTGTTGATCACGCTAGATAACACGCTCTCTCCCAGAAACTGCAACGGTAATGGTCTGCTCAACATAGTTACAGTATAAACCGCAGGTAGGCTCTGTGGGCTTTTGAACAAACACAAATGTGCCTGAGCGAGCGTCTGCAATAGGGATTGGCTAGCCAACCTAGTAGACGAGTATCCTCCAATACGATGACCAGCTATTATATATATATAGCCTTTCAAAACAGAGGTATAATTTTCTCTCAACTGAGTACTTAGTGAAGCAATTTGTATGCATGAGTTTACCGTTTGTTTACCAAGTTGCCAAAAATATTATGAAAAGAAGCAAGGAAGTTATTTAAGGAAACTCACAAACTGCTAAATGCGAAGAGGAAGTTGACATTTATGAGCTTCGGACGGGCCATGCCCCAAAGCACCCAAATATAAACAACACTTTTTGGACGAAATTTACGACTGCAGCGTCGGTTGTCGTGTATCTCTCGAGGCTTTCGAGCAAAATTTATCTTTGCCAGCGTAAGTCAGTTAACGATACTGAGCACCTTAATATATTGCTTTTTGATCCGGCTCAGCAGGCAATATTCGCCTCTCATCATCTGTTGTCTCTCAAGAGATCTTCCAAGCCGAGGGCTAGACCAATGCCTTCGTTTCGTTGCTCCAAGCATTGACGTTTAAATTTTAGTTAATTTCAATATTTTTATATTTAAAAATAAAATTCATAAGACCACATAAGTTATAGATTCAGAAATTGACTTCTCAGAATTTTTAACTTTCTTCAAACTAATCTGATCGTTATTATTATTGCATAATTGTATTATTTTACTAGCAGTATGGTCCGTCGTTGCCCGTGCTTGATTCAAAAATCGTACGACTCATACAACAATCGCTATCACTTGACTTAAAATATTTTTGCCCTTCCTTGCCTTTAAAGGAGTGCCCTTTGCCGTGCCTTACTTCTTGCCTATATCACACTGCAAATTTTTTCTAAGCTCTATACTAAACATTAAATCTGTTACGAAAAAAGAACTAAACAAAATGAACACAAAACGATCAGCTTTAAAAAAGGACTCGTAACTGGAAAAAGCGAATGAAAAAAGAATGTTAACAACAAATACTTTTTCACACCCAGCCCAGTTCTGCAGAATCAGAATCAACTTTGAGTTTAAGCAAGCGAATGAGCCAATTGGAGTAAAGTGCCATGCAGATTTAAATTTTTCCCACTCGTGACGAATGCAGCTATCGATTTTTTTGCATGCTAGTTAACATTCGTGTCAGTCAGCTGTTGGCTCTCACGCTAGCCAATAGAATCTTCCTGCCTATTCGTGGCAGCCAGCAACTCTGGCTAGTACAAAATGGCCGCAAACTACATGAAAACTGCCGTATAAGCATGAAAAATCGATTATTTCCACTATCGATGGGAGTTGGGAAATGCAATATCGGTCTTGGCCTTTCCGCTATCTTGGAGCATGTGCATGTAAATTTTGGTGCAAATCCGTTGAAAATTGCGACCGTGCATTCGTTACACACACACACACACACACACATCCTGCCTTTTATAGAGATAATACTTTTTGTAATGTCTTTATTTTTTATTGACTTTTTTTAACTCTTTAATTTTATTTATTTATTTTTACAGTAATGTTCACCTTGTATAAGGCCTGGGTCTACTCGATGTAACGAGTTACATTAAGAGGCAGCGACACGTCTGATTGTAATAGAAGTCACTTTGTTTTTGCCCGTAACGAGTCACTATTTGCTGCTCGAATGCAAATTCGGCTCCAAGGACTATTGGCGTCTCTGAAAGATCGTACTTAACAATAGCAAACCCTCTATGCCTACTTTGTTCAACCAGTTCGAGGTTCTGACCTCTTCTGCCGACAAGGCAGCATGCAAAAAAAAGTCGATAGCTGCATTCGTCACAAGTGGGAAAAATTTAAATCTGCATGGCACTTTACTCCAATTGGCTCATTCGCTTGCTTAAACTCAACGTTGATTCTGATTCCGCAGAACTGGGTTGGGTGTAAAAAAGTATTTGTTGTTATGGTTGGAAAAATCAACCTTGCACCAATGAATGGTGTATATATACAAAAAAAAACAAAAACAATACAAACAATTACTTATACCCCCTGACGAGTGGACGGACTGATTGCTAGAGAGTCCATCTATGAAACTCTGTATTCGGAATTCTGAAGGTAACACATATAACCTAAGTTACAACTTTTATATTTGTATTAATTACACACACACATACACACACACACACACACATATACATACACACAGACACACACACACATACACACATACACATACACACACAGACACACACACACACACATACACACAGACACACGCACACATACACACACACAGACACACACTGGATCAAAATGTTTTTTTTCTTTATTGACGTATTTTAATCGATAATTTATTTGTTTTTTCTTAATTTTACGTATTTCGTAATTTTAAACCTGTTCCAGTACTATCTCTTATCAATTCAAATGAGTTAAAAGTTGCCAATGATTGGGCCCTGAAGATGCGTTGACCGAAAAGCAGCCTAGGTTCGAATATTTAAAAAAAAAAAAATGAACATAAAATTATGTTTATTTAAATCAATATTCCTGTTCTGTGGTATTAGGTCTTTGTTTCAATGCATATATATATATATATATATATATATATATATATATATATATATATATAAGTGGACATTGAGGTCAGGATCCAGTGGCAACAGTCTATTTCGTGCCTTTAAGCATGAAAAAACTGTCGCCGGAGGGTGTCGGTCTCAATGTCCACATATGTTTACATGCGTTCTCTCCTTGATATCGTGCATATCAGATCATAAATATAGCAAACCTTATGACTATTCTTTTAACACACACAGACACACACACACACACACACACACACACACACACACATATATATATATATATATATATATATATATATATATATATATATATATATATATATAAATATATATATATATATATATATATATATATATATATATATATATATATATATATATATATATATATATGCTGATTTAAATTAAAAAATATCGCTGGGAAAAATAAAATAAGATATTAAATGTTGCAATGACAATAAAAATAACATTTATTGGCCTTTTTTTTTTTTTGCTGCATACGTCCTCACAGTGCGATAAACAGGTTGATGTTTCATAAATTTTGAAAGTTTTAATAATAACTATTTGCCATAGACATTTACGTCTCAGGTTGACCGATGGTTATAACAATAAACAACGGAAGATTATATTTTGATGGGAAACAAAATAGCCTAATAATAATAATAATAATAATAATAAAAATCCCATTTATACTTTATCAAAATAAAAGGAAGAGCATAACTTCTCTGATGTGATCTCCAAACAAAGAAACAACAAATATAAATAAATAAATAAAAACAAATTTTGATTACATCCGCTTATTCATTGTAAAACGAACGACTGAAACATAATGGCTGAAACATTATGGCATCCATTGAAAACCAAGTACGCCATCATAGTCATAGATCTTAAATTATGTATTTCCCGAA